CATTTTGGAAGGCAGATGAAGCATTGAATACATCTAATGTGGAGATCTCAGTTAATCATACAGAGGAGGTCAATCTTGACCAGCCAGCAAAGGAGGTTCTTCCACCTCTCCAAGATGGTGAAGATATGAATATTATTTCCTCTAAAATCAATTATGGTAATAAATTCAGCATCCTCGAAGATTTAATTGAGGAAGGTGAAATCACTTCCTCTGAATCGGTGGAGAAATTAGTATGTGAAGACAAGGGAAGTTTACATGTCTCAGAGCCTAATAAAGTCATTAACAGAGAACATAAATTGAATAATGACATCAAGGATGAAGGTCCTTTTATCAATAAAAGGGAAGGTTCTAAACAGTTAAGAGGCTTAGGACATATTAATACAACTCCTAGGAGTAGGAGAGCTGAGAATGAAATCAAAGATAAGTTGGGATCCTCATCCCCTCTTATTCAATGAACTCTTCCATTGCTTTTTTGAATTGTAGAGGAGCTAGGAAGATAAGAGCTTCTCTATACTTAAAGGAGTTTGTGAAAGAACATGGTGTTATTTTTATTGGTTTATTGGAAACCAAAGTTACTTATTTTGATGGAAAAGATGTGGATCAATTTATTGGTTATGAATGGGACTTTTTCCATGTTCCTTTAGAAGGGCTTTCAGGAGGTATTCTTATGCTTTGGAAGTCAAACTTTGCATCTTTTCAGGTTTTAGAATTTTCCTCTCAATTTATAATGGGAGACTTGGAGATGCTCAATATAGGAGTTTGGAGGATAGCTTCTATTTATGGCAACAAGGATGTCTATGTTAGGAGAATGCTTTGGGAAAAGCTGGAGTCCTTTACCTCTAAGGAGATACCTATGATCATAGGTGGAGACTTCAATTGCATTTTATCTTGTGATGATAAGAGGGGAGGGAGAAGATTCAATCTTTACCTTGGCACCAAAGAAATGAAGATCTTCCTTACAAATAATGACTTTCATGAAGTAGGATTTGTGGGTCCTAAATTCACATGGTGCAATAATAAAAAAGGGGTGGAACGAATCCTTGAGAGGCTAGATAGATGTTTTCTCAACCCGGCTGCTCTTTCTTCTAAAAATCGGTTCTTTATAAGGAATTTAGCTCGGGTGGCTTCAGACCACTATCCAATCTTATTGAATTTTATAGTTCATCAAGCTAGCAAGAAAATCCTTAGATTTGAGGATGTATGGGCATCCAACAAAGCTTCTATGGCTGTGGTGAAGAAAGTTTGGAGAAGGAATTATAAAGGTAATGCATCAAAGATTATGGATAGCAAAATGAAAAATTCTCTCAAAGCTCTATACTATTGGAGCAAGGCTAAAATGCAAAATCTGCTATCCCTTAAGGAGCTGCTTATTCAAATAGAGGAGCTGCAATTGAAGGAATCTAATGAAGGTATTTTCTCAAATGAAGACTGCTGGAGTCTTAAATCAAAAGTGGAGGAACTTAATTCTACTCTTGCTCGATTAGATACTTGGTGGAAACAAAGGGCCAAGGTAAAATGGATGATGGAGGGAGATCAGAATTCAAATTTTTTTCAAGCTTATGCCTCAGCTAGAAGAAATTCCAACTTCATTTCCAAGATCAAGGACGGTGCAGGAGAAGTAGTAGAGGATCAGTCTCTTATTCACATGTCTTGCTAGATCATTTCAAAGATAAACGGAGGTACCAGAGCTGCAGTTTAGATAACTGGCCAAACTGTTGGAGCTGCCTTGATGAGGACGACAGAACTAATCTGAACAAGGAATTCTTGGTTGAAGAAATGGTTGAAGTAGTGAAGAAAATGGTAACAACATCTCTCTAGGAATAGATGGTATAACATTCTCTTTTTTTAAAGCTTATTAGGATATTATAAAAAATGATTTATGGAATGCCATTAAAATGTTTTTTGATACATCTGGTATGGATCCAATATGGAAGGAGACTATTATTGTTTTGATTCCCAAAATCAGTAATCCTCTAACTCCCTCTAATTATAGACCGATTAGCTTATGTATTTCGGTTTACAAAGTGGTGGAAAAAATTTTTATGAATAGATTGACTCCAATCATGCCTAAATTGATCTCAGAAGAGCAAGCGGCATTCATCAAGGGAAGATCATTATCCGATCATGTGTTAATAGCTCAAGAGGTCATGCATAAATTAAGAATTTCAAATTCTTTAAAAGGCTTTGTTTCTTTTAAGGTTGATATGGAACAAGCTTATGATTCAATGGGTTGGCTAACTTTGGAAAAAGCTTTGAGTTATTTTGATTTCCCTTGTTTCTTCTCTAAGCTGATTTTAGAATGTATTAAAAATTCTAAATTCACTATCTCTATCAATGGTAGCTTTTCAAATTGGATAGAAGGTCATTGTGGCTTTAGACAAGGTTGCCCCTTGTCCCCTTACCTTTTCATCCTTTATGCACAATTGTTATCAAATGATTTTAAACAAAGAGGTGCTTCTTTGGGAGTTCAAATTTGTGCAAATGGTCCTTCTATTTCTCACCTATTATATGCAGACAATGTGATAATCTTTTTGAAAGCCACTCTCAAAGCTACCAAATAGATTAAATCTGTTTTGGCCAATTTTTGTAATTGGACAGGTTTGTCCATCAATATTAGCAAATCTTCTATGATGTTCAGCAAAAAAGTTAGAAGGAAGAGGAGATCTACTGGCCGAGTAATGGGGTTCAAATCAGCTAATCAGCTAACTTATCTTGGAGTTAAGCTATAAATGAGAAGGTTAGTCAAAAATGATTTCCTTTTCATTATTGATAAAGCATTGAAAATGACAAACACTTGGGCTGGAAGACTGATTTCGTTGGCTGGTAGAATCTTGTTAACAAAATCTGTTTTGCTTTCCTTCACTACCTTTCATTGTACTAACTCCCTTGTTCCTAAAAGCATTCTTGATGAAGCAGATAAAATTTGTAGAAGCTATGTTTGGAACAAATCTAATTTTAGAAATGACATTCACTATATTAATTGGCAAATAATGTGCTTGCCTATCAAATGGGGAGGTAGATCCCTTCACTCTTGTTCTACTAAAGTTGGTCCTCTAAGATCCAAAATTGCTTGGAAATATTTGAATGATAAAGACTCATTTCTCCACAAAGTGTTTTTTCCTAAGTATGGGAATTTGTTGGAAAAACTGGATAGTAAAAGTTTGGGATCTTCAGTATGGAAAATCCTGAGATCGGGAGGAAAAGCTATAAGGCCTCTTATCAGATGGAAGCTGGGTAATGGGTCTGACATTGATGCTGTTAATGACATATGGATCTTGGATAAGAGTATTGCTAAATGGATAACCTTCATTGCTCCTATTGATTGTAGCAGATTCACTGTTTGAAACTTATTACAAAATGGAAGTTGGGATGTAGAAAGCATGAGAAGATTCTTGGGAGAAGATTTGATCAATCTTATATTACAAAACATTGTTCCAAATTGTTCGAATGGAGACTGTATAGAATTGTTGTTTAAATACAATGGAAGATATATATCGTCCATGGTCTTTGAATTCTTAGTGAATCATGCTGAACCGAAAGAGTTCCGGAACTGGTTGAAGAAAAAAAGGCTAAACTCGAAAGTGGAGTCTCTTTGGTGGAGAATTTTCAACAATGGTCTTCCTACTTGTGAATTTCTTGAACACAGAAGATTGCTTAGGGACAATCAATGCCTAAGGAGCTGCAATGCAATTGAAGATAGAGATCATATTATAGCTAATTGTGAAAAATTGAAGGAAGTTCTGAAACAGATCAAAGAATGGGGTTTTGTTTTTCATGATTTTCGTTCTATGCAAGACTACTGTAATCATTTATCTGCTCAATCTCCATTCATGATCAATCTTTATTGTTCGGTGGTATATTTCACTTGGAAATCAAGGAATAGTTTCATTCATAATGGGAAGGAGGATAGTTCTCTTAGTATTTCTTCCAAAGAAATTAGCTATTCTTCATTCTTCAATCTTGGGAATGATAGTATTTTGGGTATATGGGATGTCAACCAACCTTATAGGTTGTTTAATCATCATTGGCATCCCCCTCCACCCGATTGGCTCAAAGTCAATGTAGATGCTACATTACTTCCTTCATACAAAGACGGAATTGGAGGAGTGTTTTGTGATCATAAAGGAAGTTTTCCTCTAGCATTTGGGAAACCATACACTCATTGGGATATACCAGCTTTGGAATTTTTGGCCACACAATCTATTAAGGAGATGCTGAAGGATTTGATGTTTAAATACAAGGGAATCATCATATAAGGTGATAATATCTATATCATAAAGCTCTTGAAGGAAGTCAAGAAGAATGGAGAAATAAGGTATGCAAATATTCATATATTTGATGAGTTTACTAATGCCATTTTCAATTGTGTTGATAGAAGTTGTAATAAGTTAGCGGACTTATGTGCTAACTATGGTATCTTATCCTCTTTTATATGGGATGATGTTAGTTTCAATAAGATTCCTCCTTTATTTATGTCTATATTAAAGGAGGAATAAATGGTTCGAGTCTTTAGCTTTGTAATAGTTTTTTAGTTTTCTTTAATGCTATTTGAGGCATTCTCTTAAAAAAAAAAGCAATATTTGGCAAGTACTCTGAGCTGTGATAAACAATATGGTAATGAATGGAAGATAGGAATATTAAATCCCCAACTTCTTAGTTTACAGATAATATCAATGAGGTGTTTGCAGTGGACAGCAATGTGTGAATAGTCTTCTATATCTTGACAACCTCTAGGACAAAGATCACAATGTTGAAGTCTTCTATATTCCAAAAATTCATTGGTAGGTAATGTAAATATGCTCATTCTCCACCAGAATAATTCAACTTTTGGTTTTAGCTTTAGCTTCCTTAACCAATTAGAAAACCCAAAATCTTAATCTTGTACATTGTATTTGATAGCTTCAGTATGAGCTAAGGCTGAAATCGACTTGCCAAAGATTTGGAAAAGAGGTTCCATTTGATCCTTATGTTCATCATGGATGACACAATGCTGTAGAATAAGGTTTACAATACCCTGATTGAAAAATATTTCAGTTCAGTAATTTTCCAATGCCCGTCCTGGTGAATAGTGTTGTAGCATCAAACCATCTAAACTGATGCAATCAGCAAGCATAGGCCATTTGTTAAAACATTTATCCAATAACCAAATATCATTCATAACATTGATACTCTTACCATTAGAAATTTGTCATTTGACAATTGGTTTTAAGGAGGAAGCCCCATCCAAAAGGATAGACCAAGCAGCCTAATGACCACTTTTGAAACCACCACTCCAAATATTAGTGCCATATCTGGTTGCAAATACATCTGTGTAGCAAAGAAGAGGGATTTTGCAAGAATCTCCAAGATAATCTGGCTCTAAGTGGACTAGTTTTTTTAACAATAGAGATTAAACCCATTCCGCCCATAAATCTGGGTTTGCATAAATCTTCCCAAGCAACGTAGTGCAGATCGCTCCTACCGTGTTCTTTGTGCCAGATGAAGTCTCTACCAATTTGGTCAAGCTCATAAAGAACACTTTTTGGTAAGAATGATTTGATAAGAATCATTCTACCGGCTAGAGAAAGAAATCTAGCACCGCAAGAATTAATTTTCTCCAAAGCATGGTCAATAGTGGATTAAAAGTCATTCTTAACCATTATTCTTAAACAATTTTAATACCCAAGTAATGAAGTTCACTTACAACTTTAAAGCCATACTTCTTGCCAATCTTACGCCTCAAAGGTTGGCTAATAGATTTACCAAAGAGGATATGGGATTTTGCATTGTTAATGCTTTGTCCAATCCAGCCACAATACTCCCCAATTAATTTCATCATAGTTTGGAGCGTGCGAAGAGAAGCTGTCCCAAATAAGAGCACATCATCCGCATACATAATATGAGTAATTCTAGGAGATTTAGATGAAGTTTGAATACCCAAGTGACGTCCTTTTTGATTCATAACATTGGATAAAAGTTGGGAGCACATGACAAAAAGATAAGGTGACATAGGGAATCCTTGTCAAAATCCACTTTTGGCTTCAATCCATCTTGTATTCTTGCCATTTAGAAGAATAGAAAAGCACACATTGATCACGCATTCCATAATGAGATCAAAAATCTTATCTGGAAACCCAAACCATTTTAAGACAAGAGCCAACGTGTCCCAACTCATACTATCAAAGGCTTGAGCCATATCAAGCTTGACGACCATGAGTCCCTTTTTATTCTTAGAAATTCTAAATTTATTGAATATTTCATGAGCTTGTAAACAATGGTCTGACAAAGATCTATCTGGAATAAAAGCAACTTGTTCTTCAGAGATGATTTTAGATATACAACACTTCAATCTATTCATAATCATAGTTGAGGCAACCTTATAAATGGTTTGGCAAAGGATAATAGAACAAAAATTAGAAGGTGTTACCGAATTTTTGATCTTAGGAATGAGAACCACAAAGGTGTCTTTCCAAGCTTCATGCATATGTCTGTTCTTGTAAAGTCATGAACTGAATTCCAAGTTGCATCTTTGACAATTTTCCAATAAAATTTGAAGGAGGAGGTACATCCATCAAGATCGGGAGATCTATTAGAACCTTGTTGAAAAACTGCTAAAATAAACTCATTTTCAGTGAATTCAGCATTTAACAATTCTTTATCAAAGTCATCCACCATATG